ATTCTATAGCCCAGTTTTTAAATATATCATTTCAAGAACATTTTAAGTATTCACAATTTCAAGCTAATGCAGTGGCTTAAGAGTAAGTTTATACCCAACAAGAAGTGTAAATGCCTTTTTATTTTAAAAGTACAGGGGTGTGGGGAGGGGCGCCTCAGAAAGTTGAGCAAGAAAATAAGAGAGAATGGCATTTTTCTATAACCTTTTTGAAGCCACACAACAGTGCCACTGAACCATAGAGACCCGACTAAAGAGCGACACATCACGGACCCAGAAAGAAGGGCCCGGTATTATAAAACCATCGATTCCTCCCCTAAATTCCTTACAATCTAACTAAAATAAATTTAGAAGATAGAATGCATAAAGATAAAAGACAATGTTGGGGTGAGGGGCCTTCCTCTAACAACATTTTAGAGCATTGAATTGATTCGTGTTGTAAAGTACTAGAGTAGAAATTGCTACATAAATCAGAAAAGGTTCAGAAACCAATCTGTAAGTTATATCTAAATGTAATGCATTGTAGAGACGGCATTTCTAAACAGTGGGAATCTCTAATCGCCCCTTAAGAGGTGGGGGGGCAGGCAGGGCAGTGCTGAAACAATTGGGCAACCCTAAGGAAAATATTAACTCTGCTTCACAACAGAAACAACCAAGGGTCACCTAAGACCATCAGAAAATCCATAAATATTTTGCAATCTATAATTACTGTTTTGTGCTTAATCACTATGCCTTAATTATGTTTAATTATGCTGAATTTTTAATATTGAAAATAATCCTGCATATCAGATATTTACATTATGATTAATAACAGTAGCAAAATGACAGTTATGAAGTAGCGACAAAAATAATTGTATAGTTGGGAGTCACCACAACATGATGAACTGTATTAAAGGGTTGTGACATTAGGAAGGTTGAGAACCACTGCCCTAAGGGATCACGGAGCTAAGCATGACAACATGTAAGGCTACATTCTGTGAAAAGTGAAGGTGCTCTTAACTATATAAAAATGAGATATTTTGCCGAAAAGTTTTTAAAACTGAAGATTCGGCTAACATAACTAATATGTATGTTAAAATTCATACATATTAGTAATAAACAGAAAATTGAACCGCATATAAGCAGAAAATTAGTGAAAGTGAAACGGCAAGGACATCTGAAATGTCTAAGGAAAAATAATGTCTAAGGTTTTCAGCGGCTCATCCCTTTCAAGTGGGGAGCTGAGTCTGGTCTGTTCTCAGTCTGGAAGCTGCACTGAAACCTGTTCACTTTGACCCTGGTAGCATTTGAAATAGCAGTAGCATCGCATCCAGCAGCACAGCAGCACACAAGTCACCACAATATGACAAACTGACAGACAAGTCCATGTGCATTTGAATTGTGGTACCGGAGAAAAATATTCAAATTATCATGGACTGCTCAAAGGATTAACCAATCTGTCTAGGAAAACATAAGGCCAGAGTGTTCCTGAGAGGCAAGGAAGGCCAGACTTCCTTTCATCTACTTCAGATATATTGTCAGGAGAGACCAGTCCCGGGAGAAGGGCATCATCATGGGTGAACTGGAGTAATCACAGGAATCAAATCCACTGTATCTGTAGAAAGAGATGATAGAGAAACTATCATCAGCCAGAACAAGACCAGGAGCCAGCTGTGGAACAGACCATCAATTGCTTAGATGCAACTTTAACTTGAAACTGAAGGAGAGTAATTAAAACAGGTCCATGGAGTGGCGATACTGGGAGGGTGGAGGGAGAGTGGGTAGGAAAGAGGGAAGCAGTTACAAGGAACTGTATGTGACCTCCTCCCTGGGGGACGGACAGCCGGGAAGTGGGTGAGGGGAGACGTCGGACAGGGCAAGA